ACCTGGACGCTGTTTGCGACTTGAATACCGTCTATATCTGGGAAAATTCAGGACATATGGCAATCCTACCTGGAAGTGGCCCATTTAACATTTTGCATTCGTTACAATTATATTCTAGAAATGGTGTATTCCAAGTTAAAGGATCCAAAAAAGATTATATATGCTCTGTAAAGGCTTAGAGCAGGCTTTGAATCTTTGATTGAAAAGAACATGCTCTGCTGTGTTTAAGGTCTAGTCCAATTTCAGCGTAGGTTAGTTCGCCTAACTGCAAACATTTTCGCTTTCCTCCACTGCGGTTCAGGTCAGTCGGAACAAGCCCTCAAGACGGAATGGAGGAAAGATGATCACGGACGGGTCTAAAAACCAAGAACCTGATAAGTTGAGTGAGGTGGAAACCACATTTGTGCAATCTGCCAGCCCCTCCAATCTTGTTCAACTAGCTTTATCAGAAGAACCTCTCACCCACAGACCCACTTTGGATGCTGAGAGTGCAGAGGGGTCCAGTTCTCCATAGTTTCTCCATCAGAGGCTTTAGAGGGGCGTGGTGTGCCTAGGAGGCCTTCTCTGTGGTGGGCCTAAGCTGTAGACCTCCCTCCCCACAGAGGTGTGCCCGGCACCTTTCATTAGACAGCAGCTGGAACAGATGGTGGTTTTTAGGCAGTTGCGACCAATTTCGGAAACTTGAGAGCTCAAAGTCGGCCACTGTCAGGATATAGCTGAAAGTCACATCCCTTTACCCCTGGCCTTTGACACTTGACGGCACATTGTTTAAGACCCAATTTTTATGGTTGCAAGTGTCCAGTTTTAATACAGTGGTACCTCGGTTACATACGCTTCAGGTTACATATGCTTCAGGTTACAGACTCCGCTAAACCCAGAAATAGTTGCTCAGCGTTAAGAACTTTGCTTTCAGCATTGAGAACAGAAATCCTGCTCTGGCGGCGTGGGCAGCAGCAGGAGGCCCCATTAGCTAAAGTGGCTGCTTCAGGTTAAGAAACAAGTTTCAGGTTAAGAACGGACCTCCGGAACGAATTAAGTACTTAACCGAGGTTCCACTGATATTGTGTTTTATGCTGAACCTGCCCTGGAGCATTCGGGTAAAGGGCAGTACTATAAATAATAAACAATAGCTTTGGCTAATGTGCTCTGCTTTTTTTTAAAAAAGACATCACCTTGCAAACAAAAAGGTCTGATATAGTTCCTGGTTTTCCCAGTAGTGATGTATGGAAATGAGAGCTGGACCATAAAGAAGGCTGATCGCTGAAGAATGGATGCTTTTGAATTATGGTGCTGGAGGAGACTCTTGAGAGTCCCATGGACTGCAAGAAGATCAAACCTCTCCATTCTGAAGGAAATCAGCCCTGAGTGCTCACTGGAAGGACAGATCCTGAAGCTGAGGCTCCAAGACTTTGGCCACCTCATGAGAAGAGAAGACTCCCTGGAGAAGACACTGATGCTGGGAAAGATGGAGGGCACAAGGAGAAGGGGACGACAGAGGACGAGATGGTGGGACAGTGTTCTCGAAGCTACAAACATGAGTTTGACCAAACTGCGGGAGGCAGTGGAAGACAGGAGTGCCTGACGTGCTCTGGTCCAGGGGGTCATGAAGAGTCGGACACGACTAAACGACTAAACAACAGCTTGCTGATGCCTTAGTTGGCCTTGATTGCTCCTGCTCCATGTTGCATCTTCCCTCTTTTCTCTCTCTCCAACCCCCACTTTTAGCTCCGTGCCTTGGAGTTGACTCTTGCAGGTGAGCTCATACAGAGCTCACATGCTCCTCTTTAACAGGGATGGAATTAAGAAAGCCTGGAGGATAGGAGAAAAACGGGTAAGGTAATATTTGGTGGAAGTGGGAGAGCAGGGTGTGAGGGAGGAAAGGAAGGAAACACTTTGCATTTTGTGTAAAAGGTCTATTGTTAGAAGGATAATAATAATAATAATAATAATAATAATAATAATAAATAATAAAAATAAAAATATATATATTATTTATACCCCGCGCATCTGGCTGGGTTTCCCCAGCCACTCTGGGCAGCTTCCAACAAAGTATTAAAATACAGTGGTCTGTTAAACATTAAAAGCTTCCCTAAACAGGGCTGCCTTCAGATGTCTTCTAAAAGAGGTGTGCATGAGAAAGAGTGAGAGAAGGCAAAGAGAGATTTATCTTTTATGGGTAAAGCGGACAGAAGGAGCCAATTTGTTTAAACTGAGTGGGCTGGAGTTATATTCCCTTACTGTGCCACTAGATGTCACAAAAGACCCATGAATATAAAGTGGGAAGGAGCGAATGAAGTACAGTACTTCTATAGCAAGGCATAATTAACTTATGGAATTCATTGCCACTGAGAGGTTGGGTTAGCAATTTACTGAAGTGGCTTTCAAGGGATTAGATTGATTCATGGAGAAGGAGAGCTCCAACCCAGGGCCATCCATCGTCAGCAATAGCTAGTTAGAAATAGAGTCCTCTTGGTTAGAAGCAACAAAGAATACGCGCAGTAACAGCAGCAAGAATATTACTGGCCCAAAAATGGAAACGAGGAATTACTGACGCTCAAAGAATGGAGAATGAAACTGATGGACTATGCAGAACTGGATAAATTAACCGGGAGGATTAGATATCTACGAGACCAAAAGTTCATCAAAGACTGGGGAAAATTTGTAGAGTATCTGAAAAGTATATGTGATGAGCAAACAACGCTGGTGGGGTTTCAAGAAGCTCTGTGAATTGGAGGAGTATTGTAAAAAAGATAATATGTTTGGGAGGGTATACTTAAAGGCAATATTAAATTAAGGAAATGCATAATTAAAAATTAAATACGGATGATTGGCAGAGAAGCTGAAGGAAGTCCAAAAGAGAGAATCTGTGACAAACTCTGATGTGGAATTATATGTATATTTGTTTTGAAAATTAATAAAAATTATTTAAAAAAAAGAAGCAACAAAGGATCTCGTGGCAACTGGAAAACTAACAGATTTTACTGGGGCATAAGGATGCGGGTGGTGCTGTGGATTAAACCACAGAGCCTAGGACTTGCGATTGAAAGGTCGCGTGGTTCGAATCCCCGTGGCGGGGTGCGCTCCTGTTGCTTTGGTCCCAGCACCTGCCAACCTAGCAGTTCGAAAGCACCTCGGGTGCAAGTAGATAAATAGGGACCGCTTACTAGCGGGAAGGTAAACGGCGTTCCGTGTGCTGCGCTGGCTAATCATGTAAAGTAAGTTCAATTCCATGTTTGTTTACTTTGTATAATTTATTCTCCTCCTGCTAGCCAGAGGGGATATCAGCACTGAAGCCTCACCTCCTGACTTACGTCTTGAATAGAGATGTATACATGTCTACTAAAAAATAGACACCTCCCTTGTTCTCTTATAATGGCAATGGCGCCCACCTGAGAGATGCCAGAACTGAGTTCTGGAAAGCTCCAGCTGAAAAAAAGACCTACATCTGCACCAAGGGGCAGAAGAAATAGACAAAATCGATAATTTCCTATACAGTGGTTAAGTACTTAATTTGTTCCGAGGTCCGTTCTTAACCTGAAACTGTTCTTAACCTGAGGTACCACTTTAGCTAATGGGGCTTCCCGCTGCCACTGCACGATTTCTGTTCTCAGCCTGAAGCAAAGTTCTTAACCTGAGGTACTATTTCTGGGTTAGCAGAGTCTGTAACCTGAAAGCGTATGTAACCTGAAGCGTATGTAACCCGAGATAACCACTGTATACTTATTTATCAGCTAAAGTAGCAGAGTCTAAAATCAGTATTGATTCACTGACTGACGCTGTCACCACGGCCTGTCTTGTCCTCATTGCCATAAAACAGAATTTCTTGACAGCCCTGGTGACATCTGGGTCTTTGTCAGCAAGAAGGTGTTCAACATAGGTTTCCTCTGAGCAGCCAGACACAAACTCATAAAATACAATTTTTTAGCAGTGGTTCCTGCATTTCAGGTGACTGGAGCAGATGATCTTGGGGTCCCTTCCAACTCTACAGTTCTGTGATTCTACGAAAACAAGTTTTATGGCACCTTAGAAAATAAAAATGAACATATTGTGCCATTAGCTTTCAGGAACTAGAACCCACTTTGCCGGATTCATGAATAGTTATTCTTACTTGTCAGGTGTGTGTGTGTGTGTGGTGTGTGGTGTGTTGGGTTTGGATTGCTTCAGTAATGATATCAAAACACTACTAACCCTTAGGCTACGCAAATACAATCCTGGTGACAAGACACACAACGTTACAGGCTGTTTTTGACTATGTAACTTCTATTTCAAACACAATTCAAGATATAGTATCTCACAATGTGTATCTCACAATGTGTAATTCCATAGACCAACACATCATCCAAACAGAACATATCCTGAGAAATTAAATATTGGCATATTGGCAATAACCACAATATGGTAAGCATACCATATTGTGGTTATTGCCAATATGCCAATTTAGGAACTGAATGGACTTTATCTCCTGACCATCCATTGGACTATAATTTCTCAGGATATGTTCTGTTTGCATGATGTGCTGGTCTATGGAATTACACATTGTGAGATATTATATGTTGAATTGTGTTTGAAATAGAAGTTACATAGTCAAAAACAGCCTGTTACGTTGTGTGTGTTGTCAACAATGATATTCAACAACAGTTACAAAGGCCTGTTGGTTTCCCGTAGGTAACTGGTTGGCCATAGTAGCGGTGCCCGCCCTGTGGAACGCCCTCCCATCAGATGACAAACAGCTAACTGATTTTAGAAGACACCTGAAGGCAGCCCTGTTCCAGGAAGTTTTTAATGGCTGATGTTTTATTGCATTTTTAATATTTTGTTGAGAGTTGCGCAGAGTGGCTGGGGAAACCCAGTCAGATGGGTGGCAAATAAATAATAAAGTTGTTAAAACAAAAAAATTCCTTCCAGTAGCACCTTAAAGACCAACTAAGTTAGTTCTTGGTATGAGCTTTCGTGTGCATGCACACTTCTTCAGAATAAAGTTGTTGTTGTTGTTGTTAATAGATGGGTCTTTGGTCTGATCCAGCAGAGCTCTTTTTAGGTTTTTAACCCACCCTCAAAGCTCTGATTGACCAAGCTTTCGTGCATCTTGGCGACTTCTGATTTCAAAGATCCTCGAGAGAAAGGAACAGCGTGTGGATTGTCATAAGCCATCTGGCAAAGGACTGGCAGATAAACCTCTCAGATCGTTCAGCACAGATACATATTCTCCATCGTCTAACACCAGAAAGCGGCGTCTTGCGTGCGACTTGGAAGGCGCTGCCCTGCTCTGCCGAAGCAAGGGGATGCACAGAGGCCAAGCCTGAAATCCTGTGCACGGTTCCGCTTGACAAATGGCGTGCTAAAAATGGAAAGCACAGAACAGAAGGCAACCAGTAGGATAAAAAAAGACGAAGACACACACATAGAAAGAGAGACTTTGGTTCTTCAGGAAGGATGGAGAGGGGAGCAAAGGAATCCCAACAGCAAAGCCTTTGAAAACCGAGAGCTGAACAGAGGGACCTCGTTAAGGTAAACAAAATTTTCATAAGGGGAGCAGAAAAGATAAACGCTACCTGGGATATTATTAGCTCACGTCAAATACGGGAGCAGCAGGGATGTGCACTTCAGACACCGTGCAAGAGCTTCACAGAGTTTAAGTGGAATTCCTTGCACAGAATGTGGTTAATAGATGGAATGTGGCATTGCTGGCAGCGGGAGAAGCAATCAAGCTAAACAGCCTGCAGAGCTATTAGAGGGTGAAATACATATTGTGGAATGAGAGACAACAGGCTTGCCCATCCTCATGTGTGTGTTTACTTAGAAGTCAGCTCCACTGAAACCAGCAGGGCTTGATCCCAAAGTCGTAGGCACAGAACGGCAGCCTCAGAGGCAGAAGGAACCAGAATAGGAAATCTGCTGCTGGCAGAATAGTAGCTGTTATATTTATTTATTGTTTGTTTGTGGCTCCCCCCCCCTTCAGAACCCTGAAATGCGCTTGATCTGGCTGTTGAAAGGATGACTGACTATTGTGGGTAGAGAACAAAAAGGCTAACGGAGGACGAATGGAATGCAGAAGCATGAAAAAGGACCCGGCCGGTCAGACCCCTGAAAGACAGTGCATTCCACGCTGCAATGTCTTGTTGCAGGCCCCACTCGCTTTGACGATAACAAATGTCAGATTCACGGGTGCGAGTGTTTAATGATATTGGGCATACAACAACCGCTGCACTCTTTTCGTCTGCCTGAAACATCTGCAATAATGTCCTGAAAGGGTTTCTGGGCATTTTGCTGCAAGGAAAACACACTTCACCTCTGCTATTTGGTGGAGTAATATGGTTATTTGCTATTGGTATTTCTTACTATGTTTCTGCTGTTATTCTCAGGGCTTAGAAAATGCAGCTGATTGATTTTTTCTCCACCGTGGTAGGCCAGTCCCGTGATTGTAATAAGGGCCAACTACTGGAGAAGTATTGGGATGAACCATTGATTACGTTGACACCGCAATCTATTTTCCTGCGCGTCACAGGCTGAATTTACAGTCCGTGTATACCCACATTACTGACACATTGTTCTGTGTGAATAATCTTGCCTGGGCGACTTTGTCTGCGCTCGGCTTTTATTAATATTAGAATACCTCTCGGAGCTCTTGAGCAGAATGAAAGGGGAGGCCGAGGAAATTATACCAAAGCGCTTCCCCCCCCCCTTTTTTAAGGAACAGGAGGAAGTACAATGGGGAGAAATGACATAGATGTTCAAAATGGCTGCCTGAAAAAGCCGCATTTTCCAAACAGAAAGGCAACAGTCGCAATCCAGGTGAGCAACTTTGATAGGATGTTCTAAGCAGTCCTTTTTCTGGGGGGGACGGGACGCAGGGGCAAGCATACCCCTAAACATTTTGTGAATCTAAAAAAATGAAACTAAAAAACTAAAACTAAACTAAACTAAATGGAACTAAAAAAATGAAAATTTTTAGTTTCTCCTCTAGCACGGTGAATCGTTAGTTCCGTTGCTACTCCTGATGGTGGCTTCATTTCTTATCATGGTTTTTCCTGAGTCTCAGACAGAAGCGAATGTTTCATGTGTGAAGCAGGAGTTGGAATCTAGCACGGTGATTGGTCAGTTTCGTTGTTACCACCTCCGATGGCGGCTTCATTTCCTTTCCCAGTGTTTCCTGAGTTTCAGGTGGAAGTGAGCGTTTAATGTGTGAAGCAGTGTGGAATGCATTTAAACACTGTAGCCAACTTAATGTTTATAAAACTGGTACGTCCTCCTTTGTGTTTGTTTAAGCCTTCAGTGTATGGTTTTTGAAAGGACGACATCTGGCGACAGACGCCAACAGCAAACAGAGGAATCGGGAAGATGTTAGTTCACACAACCTCATGCCAATGTGGAAGTTACTGTGAGCTGTCAGCTGCGGAATATGAGGTAATGCATGTTCTTTGTACTTTTGTCCATTTACTGCATTTATTTCCCCCGATTTGAAGTAGAAAATGGTGATTTTCTTGAGTCAAAATGAGAGTACCCCTAATTTTTTTTTTTAAGAGGAAAAGAGCACTGGTTTCAAGGTACTTACTTATCTCATGACAGTTCTTGCCAGCACCTGCACTTCTGTAAATATGGCTTTTGGATTTCATTTTGTGTTGATGTTTTACTTACGTTATGACTCATAGCTGTAAGATGAATGCAGACAAGCTGAGATGTGGATGTCCAAATCACACAAAATCCTAGCCAGGAGGGCTCTGCTCTGCTTCCTTAGTTGGAGTCAGTAGTGCTTCTGAGTACCAGTTGCTAAAAGCCACAGGATGCGCTCAAATCCTGCTTTTGGGTTTCCCTCAGGCATCTGGTTGAGATGCCTCAATCTGGTTGAGATGCCACTGTGAGAACAGGATTGTGGCGATCACACAGAGTCCCCGGACGTTTAACTGTGTCTTGATCCCTGTGCCACCACTGTGATCACTTCCCCGCTGCCACCAACCCATTACTCTCTGGTAAAACACTGATAATAATGTAATAATTTATAATTTATTATTTGTACCCCGCCCATCTGGCTGGGTTTCCCCAGCCACTCTGGGCGGCTTCCATAAAAACCAAAGATACAGTAAAATATCACAGATTAAAAACTTCCCTTAAGATGTCTTCTGAATTTCAGGTAGTTATTTATCGCTTTGACATCTGATGGGAGGGCGTTTCCCAGGGCGGGCGCCACTACCGAGAAGGCCCTCTGCCTGGTTCCCTGTAGCTTTGCTTCTCGCAATGAGGGAACCGCCAGAAGGCCCTCAGCGCTGGACCTCAGCGTCCGGGCAGAACGATGGGGGTGGAGACGCTCCTTCAGGTATACTGGGCCGAGGCCGTTTAGGGCTTTAAAGGTCAACACCAGCACTTTGAATTGTGCTCGGAAACTTGAGTCCAGTCAGTTGTTAAAAGTGAACAAAACCCCCCCCCCCAACTTTATTTTACAAACATTAACAAGTTTATGGTTTCTCTGATAATATTCCTGTCAGTACCTTAACTTTAGTTTCTTTACCGGCCTATACCTTCCTAATACCTTCTGACTGATTATCTCAACTGTTTGACTGACTCCTCTTAACATATTCTCTCACTCTCCCACACCAGACTAGCCCCACCCAGAGATTTATCTTCTCTGTCTCTTCTAAATCCAGACTGTCTTCTCAACCACCCTAACTCTAACTCCTCCAAAAACCCTCTGTGCTTAAACCTTATACCCAGTTAACTCTGCCCTTTGGGTTCCCATTGGTTAGTCATTTTACAATTAGTTAACCTTTCCGTATGAACCCAGTATGATGTCACACACCTAGGAGAGCAAACGCCACAAGGATGTTGGCCAGATGGGCTGCTGGCCTGAAACAGAGGGCTCTTCTGGTGTTCTTAAAATGAAATGACGAAAACCCTAAAATGAAAACTAACACAAATGCATTTTGATTTAAGGTCTTCTTCAATGGTTTCTGGCAAAGATACTTACAGCATATAATGAAGAAAGAAAGAAAGAAAGAAAGAAAGAAAGAAAGAAAGAAAGAAAGAAAGAAAGAAAGAAAGAGAAACCTGTGACCCTCCAAATGTTGATATTAAACTCCCATCATCCCTGACCATTGGCCATGCTGGAGTTGTAGTCCAATGGTAGCCAGAGGGCCACTGGTTCCTCACCCCAGAATTGTAGAATGGAGCAGAGAAGGGAACTCAAAACGACTTTGCCACAAGGCCAAAGTTCTCTCTGTAGGCCTATGCAGAAATCTTCCCTGTTCTTCTATGCCCATGTTCAATTTGGCATGCCTGCCACAGCCGTCTCGACTAAAATAAATGCATAACGGATAAAATGAGAGCCAATAACGAAGGATGACCTCTCCCAGCTGCAGTGGGCTCTCCTTTAAACCCTTGGCGAAGATCATTAGTGTCTTGTCGTAAATGCAAAGCTAAAGGTTATTGTTATTGCCAGAGCTGTCAATCTCCTTTGCAAATAATGAGAGCAACAAGAGCAGCAGCAGCAGCAGCAGCAAACAGCCGCTTGAAACAGTTGGAATCCCTCTGTGCTCTTGCACACTTCCCTTTTTTGGGAAGGAAAAAAGAGCTTTCGGAGCCGTTGCAAATGGCAGTTAAGAATAACAGATCTCCGCAGCCTGTCTGGCTCCAGGGTCATTTAATTCATATACCGGTGCAGGCAGCTTGAAGGGGAATCGAGAATGGAAGCCAGCTATGCGTGGAAATCCTTTATTTTTGATTTGTAATGTCTCAGCATGGAGGATCATGGGAAATCAAGAGAGATTTCTTGTGTTGCTGTTGTTGTTTTTTTAAAAAAAGCAACACAAAATTATTTGTGCAAAACTAACTGGTGTGGAGAATAAGGCATACTTAACTAAAAACTAAATACGAAATACAGGCTGCAGTTTGAAAGCGCTCTTTTCAGCCCAGAAAGACTGGCCAGGCTGGTCACAGAATGAGATTTGGGCCACATTCACACAAAGCATTTAAAGTGCTGTGATGCCAGTTTAAGCAGTCAGGGCTTCTCTCAAAGGATTCTGGGAACTGCCATTTGTTTAGGGTCCTGAGAGTTGTGAGGGGACCCCAATTCCCTCCCCCCAGCTACAGTTTCCAAAGTGGTTTAACATTCAACCCCTTTTCACAGAGGAGTCTGGGAACCGTAGCTCTGTTAGAAACACAAGCCTGCCATTCAGGAAGCTAAGTCTGAAGTCACACCGTGTGTTTAGATACTCTGCACAAGCTCAAGAGCGTTCTCTCTTTTAGAGCCAGTGTGGTGTAATGGTCAGTGTTGGAGGCTGGGGTTCGAATCCTCACTCAGCCTTGAGCTTACTGCGTGGCCTTGGGCCCGTTATTGCCTCTCAACCTGACCTCCCTCACAGGGTTGTTGTGAGGATAAAATGGGGAGGGGAGAATCATGTATCCTCACCTTGAGCTGCTTAGAAGAAAAGGTGGTATATAAATCTAATAAACAAAGAAACAAACAAATTGGTGAAAATTAAACCATATGTACCACCCTAAACCACAGAGCCTAGGGCTTGCTGATCAGAAGGTCGGCGGTTCAAATCCTCGCGACTGAGCAAGCTCCTGTTGCTCGGTCCCTGCTCCTGCCAGCCTAGCAATTCGAAAGTACGCAGTGCAAGTAGATAAATAGGTACCGCTCCAGCAGGAAGGTAAAGGCGTTTCCGTGCACTGCTCTGGTTCTCCAGAAGTGGCCTAGTCATGCTGGCCACATGACCTGGAAGCTGTACGCCGGCTCCCTTGGCCAATAAAGCGAGATGAGCGCCGCAACCCCAGAGTCATCCCTGACTGGACCTAACACTCAGAGGTACCTTTACTTTTACCTTTTACCACCCTATCAAACTAATTATCAGTCTGGCTTGTAATCTGTTTGTTTTGGATTTACTTTTGTGGGATGTGAAACTTGTAGCAGTCAAGAACAACATTCCTACAGTGGACATGTTAGGGAATGTTTTGTACCATTCGGGAGAAAACTGTTTCCTCCTGGGCTGGGACAGACCTTCCACTGCATGTGACTTGAAGCGGGAGTGGCCTATTCTGGATAGAGGAGCACACCTCCTCTGTGTGCTTCTTTTTCTTCTTCATTTTTGTTTTCCTATGTATTAGGAGAAGTGATTCAGTCACTGCTCAGTCGCACTCACTTGGGACTAACTCCCTTATGGGATAGTTCATGTAGATATGTACTTTTGTAACCTAAGTCTGCCTTCAGGGATCTAACTGTGAACTGAAAGATTGTAAGTAAACTACTTTTACATTGACTTTAATAAGACTGTCGTGTCTATTCTTTTCAAGAGGGACAAGAAGGGATCTTATCAGGAATCTTATATTGAGAGGCTCAGACGAGCCTGCAACAAGCTAACTGCTGTGCGATTAAAAGGGGAATGTTTAAACTCTGCCAAGATACAGAACTTGCTAACGCAAGTTAGGAAGAATATCATGAAACAATATATCCTCTCCTGCCTCCCGGAACATTCCCCCAACTTTTTTTATGATTGGTTTCGTTTATTGTATTTTTGCGTTGTGCTTCACACCACTTTCTGATTTATTTATTTTTTAAGAAATGAAAAGTGGTATATAAATATTTTTTTCATTTACACTAAAATTGAAGGAGAAGGGAAACAAAAACAGAGCAAAATGGTAAAGGATCCATATAGGCAGGGAAACCTTTTTGGCCCTAGCGTTGGAAAACAGCAGGAAGGAAAGGTACCCATGTCTTGTCTTCTGCTTGTGGTTCGCTTTGCCGGCGTCAGTGGAAGATGCTGCCTGTCTGATAAACCCGGCACTCTCCATCTTCAGGGCCATTTGCCTTGGGAGCCAGGTTCACGTGATGCTATCGGCGGATGATTTATGGCCGTTGCCTCTCGCCTGACATTTTGGGGGAAAGTTTTCATTGTTCATAACCGGCTTGCAAACAACGGCAGACGTTGCAGGTGCAGCAGAATTTTAAATGCGAGCGCAATTAAATGGGATGTGGGACGCCGGCCGCCAGCAGGAAGCTTCCCCGTAATAATACAGGAGAGTGGAACTCTCTGCAGTATTGATCTTGTGATGTTTCAGCGAGAGGTTGCTTCAAAGCACAGTTGCTACATAATGGCATATGGTCTCCCTCCCTCTCTCTTTCTCCCTCTCTCTCTCTCGCCATTGCTGCTGCTTCGATATTTTCTGCATAGCGAAGATGCACTCTGCCAGCACCTCTGTGGCAATAATTGGATCAGATGTATGTTACAAGCGAAAGATGATAAAAAAAACAACAGCTTGCTTGATTGTTGTTTAAGCTCTGCGGATATCTCCCATCTTGTCCCTTTGATAGATTCCGCTCCTTTTTTCAAACAAGTGTACAAAGTGCATCTCTTAAAAACAATTAAGAATCTGCGGTAGCGGTGGGGTAAGGGGAAAGAGGGGTGGGTGGGGAATTAATATACATGCGAAGGATGTAAGTAAAAGAAGACAGAAGTTTGTGCAAACAACATTCTTCGACCTCCGGGGCGAGGCACGCGGCCAAGACTCCCACTGGTGGAGCAATGCCATCCACGGTTGAGTTGCCAATATAAAGGCACGTGGCTCAAAATATTACAAGTTGCAACACCTTGTGAGATTTATTGGTTGAGAGTCTGGCAAAGCTGATGAGGCAGGGAATATAATGCACACCTAGCCAACATAAATCAGAGCCGGGGACACGAGACACCAGATTCCTCTCTTGTTATACAGCTAATATCTCCAGATTGCTTTTAATCATTTTGTTTTGTGCCCTCCAGAAGCAGGAAGGGAGAAACATCATACGCCACATGCAGCGAGCGTCATCCATCTGTCAGTTCCCACCCCAAGGCGGTGCAACGGTTCAGCTGATCCCTGTGCATAAGGAGGCAACCCCGATGTCTTGGCAGTGCTTCCCATTTACAGATGCTCTGCTCTGAATTCGAATTCTAAAGCAGGGGTTGGGAACTTCTGGTTCGCAGGCCTAATTAGGCCCACCAGGCATTTTGAGCCAAGCAACACCCAACTGCTCTACACCTGACATCACGTATGGGACGAGTTTAGTTGCAGCAGGGCCAAAGAGGGGTTTGCAGGTACCTTTGATTGGCTGATCGACAGCACCTGTAAAGCCCCTGGCAAGGCTGATTTTCCAGGGCTGCAAAGCACAGGACTCTCGGCAACCACCAAGACTGAGGTGATCATTGCAGTCCATGGGGTTTGGAGGATTCCCCATTCCTGCATTGCAGGGGGTTGGACTAGATATCTCTTGGGGTTCCTTCCAACTCTACAATTCTATGATTCTATGACCATAGCTCAGTGGTAGAGCAGGCAGAAGATATCAGGTCCAATTGCCAGAATCCTGAGCGCTCTCACTCTGTCCATTTCTCACAGCTATTATTACAGGAACATTGTGCAGGTGCGAAGCTATGCAAAGCCTCTCACATGTGTGGCAAGCGTTCGCAGGTCTTCAGCCTGGAAGTTGGGACAGTTCTTACGCTGCAGCCACCAGAGACTCCTTCCATAGGTGCAGATGAAGCTATCGGCTGTCTGTGTAGTGCTGCGCAGTGTGCTCAAGCTGTGTCTTCGTAGGCAGAGATGAGCCAAGAATCAGCAGCCCAAACTGGTCGTCATTAATTAATGCAGGAATAGAACAGAGCTATGGGTAAAAAACAAAACAGGGAAAGCAACACAGATCCCAAGTAGACAGATTCACCTACCCTTAGTCTGAGCCAGGGAAGAATTAAGGGGTCATAATAGTCTCAAGTCTTCTGTGAGGCAAGCATTATGAACTCCCCAAAACTCATAATACCCCAGCTTGGAAGTAGAGTTCTGTGGTTTTTCTACACATATAGGAGGGACCTCCAGATGTTGATATAATAATAATTTATTATTTATACCCCCCCCCATCTGGCTGAGTTTCCCCAGCCACTTTGGGCGGCTCCCAGTCGAGTGTTAAAAACAATACAGCATTAAATATTAAAAACTTCCCTAAACAGGGCTGCCTTCAGATGTCTTTTAAAGATAGGATAGCTGCTTATTTCCTTCACATCTGAAAGGAGGGTATTCCACAGGGCGGGCGCCAC